TGTGATTCATCTCCCATTTTCTCCTTTAAGCAATACACCATCTTTTTGTGAGTCACCTGGAATAGGGTGGCTTTAAGAGTTGGTGTTTTTTTTTTTTTCCCCTCAGTGTGACTCATTTTAATTAACATGTATTCCTTGAGGGATATAGGTAGATGAAATTTCTACTCTAAGAAGATGGCATGTTTGTATTAATATTTTAGTCTAGTCCTTTGATGCAGTTTGAAGTCTTATTTTATAGTCATTTTTAGTAATGTGTAATTCTTCCTTGTAAGGAACTGCAGTTTGATACTTCTCTTTTTGCAGATGAAGAAATTGAGATGCAGAGAGGAAGAGACCTGCCCAAGGTCAAAGAGCAAGTCAGTGGAAGGCCTGAGATTAGACTTGTGGTCTTCTAGGTTTTTCATCTGTTGTTCACCACTAAGGAGCCAGCTTCCCTTTTGCTGGAGACAGTTCAGCCTAATGGAATTTGCTCTACCTGATGTCCACAGTGTGTTAGGTGATATTCGTCACTGCCCTCTCTACTCTAAAGCAGCCCTTTAATACCCCTCTAAAATGGATCCACTTTTTCCTGCTCATGATTTAGAATATCTCCACCTGGAGGAAGTGATGGTTACTTAAAGGGTGTGCAGGAAAGGATGACAGGGTCAGGGAGGGCTACGCAACCAGAGCCTCTTCAGCAGCCTCGCCGCCAAGACAGGAATGTTTTCTTGAGCCGAAGAACCCACAGCAGATAGCCTTCTTCCTATCTGATCTCTGGGGATGTGGGGTACATGCATACGGTCAGTAATGTTTCTTGGCTGTGCATGTCTATACACACACATACCAATCCTAAACCAGAATCCCTGGGGTAGGTATGAGACCTCAGCATGCATATTGCGAAAAAAAAAAACTCCACAGGTAATTCTGATGGACAAACAGCCAGGATCTAGATTCACCTGAAACCTTTCTCTTGACCGAATGGGGTAAATGATGCTGCTTTTGAGGAGAGATCAGTATGATTTGAATGTTTTTAAAAATTAAATATGAATGTAAATCATTAGTTTATGTGCCTAAATGGAGGTATGAGTACTATAATTTTGTTAATGTGAGCACCGAAAGATCGGGCTGAAGCGTCAGTCCTAACGGACTGCCTTTTGGTAAGTGCTGATTTAGTCCAAGCGTAGGTAAGAGCTGTTTGCTCATCATAAACCATACTCTTCAGGGATCTTGGGACTTCCTTCAAAAATTAAGGCAGACAGCTGTGGAGCCAGCTGATTGTACTTTCTAGATTGGGTGACCCCTGTCTGGCTCGCTCCTTTTCAAAAAGTGGAAGGTTAATGTTTTTTTTAAAAAAAAGACTTGAGCTGATGTTTTTATTACCTACAGTTCTAGGAGAAAATGTTCATTGTGATGGATTTTTTCAAAGTTGAGTATCTTTATTTCATTTTTGGTTTAAAGTTTAGGTTTCTTCTGCCAGCATATTACCTTGAAAGACTTTGTGTACATCTGCATGTTTGAGAGCCGTTTCTTTGGGGAGGATTTTCTTGGTGTAATAACTACTCTACTCTGTTAGCCACTTTCAGGAATGCTTTGTTACTTTAACATCCTGGCCTTCAAAAGCTGTCATCTTCACCCAAAACCGGGCTGCATACTTTTCCTTTTCTACTCTTCCGTTTTACAAGTGTAACACTGCACATCTGTAAAATGGATTCAAAGTATATTAATGCGGGAGAGAGTAGGCACAGGAAGGAAGAACCAATAATTGAGGGTTCTTTTATTTGTGTGGAACGAACACCTAGGCACAGTCACTTATTGGTAGCTTGGAAAAGTTAAACATAGTGAAGAAGGGTATAAAATCTCTTCCTGGACCATATGAAACACCTAGTTATGAAATGTTTTCTGTAATGTTTCTTGAGTACCGAAGCACTTCTGAATGTTAGTTAAAGTGAATAAAACCAAAACCAATATTTTCTAAAAAGGTTTTGCCATTCGATAGGAACACTCAACTGCTAGTCTTTCCGAGCGGCTCCTGTGTGAGGACGTGGCAGGAGAAGCCCCCAGTTCACTCTGTGCGGGTGGATCTGTGAATGACCGTGGGTTACTTCCTGTGGCTGAGCCACTTGAAAACAAGCACACTGCTTCTGTGAAACGTCAGGCAGTTCAGCCACAGAAATGCCTGAAACACGTAGAGACCATCCTGCTGGCCTTGAACTTGTGAGAAAGGAAAACTTTGAAGAGGGGGGGTGGCCATCTCTGAAGGTATATGATTTTGATGCAGAGAGGTGGGGAGCTTATGCCATCATGAAAGTTAAGGACAATATTCATTTTATCCGTTAACAGAGTCAGCATAGTGGATAGGCCCAGATTTGAAACCCAGCCCTTTGGGCAAGTTACTTACCCCTCTCTGCTTCAGTTTCCCCATATGCGAAACAGATAGCAACGGTACCTTCCTCATTGCTTATAGTGAAATTAAGAGTGTGTATGTAAAGTGTCGACGAATGCCTGGCTTGTAGTAAGTGCTGTGTGAGTATAAAGTGTTGCTGCTGCCATTACTGTTTCTATTATTAGTGTTGCTGTAACTCAGTTAACTCTGTTCTGGGATCGTGTTCAACTGGGGAAACTTCTACACCCCTTGTTTTTTTCTTACTTGCTTATTTACCTTTTGGCATTTTTTTTACCACTGCCTTAATAATCTGCCCACCCAAGGATAAAGAAAGGAAAAGAAAAATTTTTCAGACTTGTCATGTTTTATTAAATATGTCAAATACATGCAGAAGTAGAAAGGATACATTTATAAGAAAATGCTATTTTTAAAGGCTAAAAATAGTAAAGTCACTTGAAGTGTGGAAACTACAAGCCTGTTGTCTTGACATAATTTAAGTATTCTCTGTACACAAACTGTACACAGTTGTACTTCTAGAGAACATACCATTTTATGGACTTTCTCCACTTAGCTTTAGAGCATAAGCATTTTTCTCTGTCCCTTAGTCTTTACAAATAGTTCTCAATGGTTTTGTACCATGAATAATTGGTTTGTGTCCTTTTAAAAACAATTATAATAGCAGTGAAAATCTTACTGCAGATGGTTGGGGGTCATCTTAGAAGATGATTTTGGGGTCTTTTTGCTGTTTTGATTAAGAATCTCTGCATTTGTTTTCTGGTACATGAGAATCTTACTGTATAATGTGGTTCTTTGGGAAGTCAGCTTTATGAAGGTGAACCAGCCCCAGTCCATGTCTTGGGGTTAAAGGTAAACTTGCTGTGTGTCAGTATCTCTGCATGAGGATAGGACCGTGCCAGCTGTCATGGGACTCTCCATTACATCACATTCTAGACCTGAGCTCTCCAGTACAGGATCTACTAACCACATCTATAGTTATTTAAACATAATTAATGAGAATTAAATAAAGTGAAAGATTCAGTTCCTCATAGTCACACCAGTTATTTTTCACATGTTCAGTAGCTCCGTGTTGGACAGTGAAGGTGCAGAACATTTTCGTTATAGCAGAAAGTTCTGTTGAATAGTGCTGCTCTCGCTTACTCTCTGACTGCTCAGTTCCTTAACCTTACGGTGACAAGGAAGAGCCACCTATTTCTAGAGTTTTCTATAGCAGACGTTAGCAAACTTTGGCTGCCCGTGTTTGTATATAAAGTTATATCGAAACAGAGCGGCACCATTTGTTTACCTGCTATCTGTGGCTGCTTTTCTGCTACAGCAGCAGAGCTGAGGGTTGAGTAGCCATGGCAGTGACCGAATGTGGCCCATGAGCCTGAAGTATTCACTCTCCCTTTATGAAAAGTTTGCCCCAACCCCTTTTATCAGACCAACGTTTCTCAGCCTCAGCACTGTGGACGTTATGGTCCATGTAATTATTGTTATGAAGGGCTGTCCTGTTTGTTCACTGCAGGATATATAGCAGCATCCCTGACCTCTACCCCCTAGATGCCAGTAGTACCACCTGCCTCCCTAACCCACCCCGTCATGACAACCAAAAATTTTTTCAGATATTGCCAGATGTTCTCTGGGGAGCAAAATCACCCCTGGCTGTGCAATCACTAATCTAAAATGATGTCACTAATACTGCTTATTCTAAAATTACATATATAAGGAGCAAAGTAAAAGTCGTTTTTATACATATATCAGCGTTCCTCCAGAAACACAAATGTTTCTTGTAACTTACGGAGTAATTAGACTTAGGGCAGAAAAGTGGAAGCGCTGAGGTTCCACAGTCACTGCCTGCTGAGGAGCAAATAGGATGGAAGCTGTGGCGTCTCTGATGGGGACATGTGGTTTATTTTACTGGTTTGCAGGGCCTGCTTGATGAAACTGGGTGGCTGGCTGCAAGGTTTTAACTGTATGTAGATGTCATCTGGCAAGAAGGGAATCAATAAATATTTATGACAGCGATTATTAATAAATGTAGTGACTTGGTACTTATCTGTCTTATTTATGACTTTGAGTGGTCCATATAAGTTTCTACCCTCATTACCCAGAATAATTGAAAAACTAGTAATATTTACCTCCATTAGAAGTTACGAGAATTGAATCAAATGTCAAGGCCTATAAAATTGTATTCGGTGCTTTTAAGAACTGGCACTTGAAAACTTCAGAGTTGGGATTTTCAAAGCTGTAGAAAAGGGCAATGTTAAGAGAATGCTCATTTTGTAAGAATGTGGAGGGCTGCAGGGTGTGGGGGCACAAGTTTTAATTATTAAACAATGTAGTATTTCTCAATTTAGAAAATAAAGTGAATTAGAATTGAGACAGTTGTCTTTCACAGTGAGTACCAGGTATACCTTTATCTGGTACTTCAAATTAAAATTAAATTTTAAAATGTTTTTAAATTGGTATTGAAAGGAATATGTAATGTAAGTCACATGTAATGGAGTAGTACACTTTTATGGAAAAACTTCCGTGTGGTTAAATGTCTAGGAAGGTAAGCAGTTTTGACTACTGATCAAGTGAATTTTAGGTGAACTGGCTTGTTCTGTGCATGATGTATTTCTCTTTGTTTTTTCAGATCTTACCAATATATTTGAGTCCTTCCTGCCCCAGTTGTTGGCCTATCCCAACCCAATAGATCCTCTCAATGGTGACGCTGCAGCCATGTACCTCCACCGACCAGAAGAATACAAGCAGAAAATTAAAGGTAAGGAGGCAGATAGTTTAACCTGGAGACAGAAGAACTAGCCTATGTGGTTCTGAGGGTCGGAGACAACCTTCGCAAGGCTGGAGGTACCAGCAAGGAGGAAGGGAAGGCATGAGAAGGAGCCAAAGGAAAGACGAGGAAGTGGGAGGCTCACTTTTGGGTAGTATTTAGATGTAACCCTTCTAGAAATCCCTGTGGACGCCTGCCCAAAAGAACCTTTGCCTTCATTTGCCTCCCTTTGTCTTGTAAAATTAGAAAATTAGGCTTGAGAATAAAGTATTAATTGAAACATATAATCTCACATTTGTTTATCATCGTGGCCCTTAAGGAAAGCAATTAACTTTGGAAGTTGGGAAATAATTGCCAAATTCATCATTAGACTTTTTAAAAAAAATTATATCATTTTGCCTATTGAATTTTTAAAAACCCAGCTGGCTTCTTTTCCCAGCCGATTTGCTTTTACTTTGGGAAGTTTACGTCTGGGCACATTCCTCCCCTACTGCAAATACCTGGCCCCAGGGCCGTTGTTAAACAGTTTACATGCTAATGGGGCATGGATTTCATAAAAAGGAATATGTAGTTGCAAAAGAACATTGAAAGCTTCACACAGCTTTACCCAGTGTTCATCATGTTGTCCTCGTTATCTCTGTATGCTTGAGAACTTTCATAGTGAAAAGTCTAAATTCATAAAGTCCCACCAAAAAGGAAAAGAATTCGAAGTCCATGGAAACAGGCCTGTTCTTCCTAACAAGTGGAAGGCGTTGATAGCTACCCAGTTTCTAGCATGACTTGCCCATCTGCACAGCAGTTCAGAACATCAACTTCTGCGAAGTATGTGGCCCCTCGGATACATTCGCAAGAGATGGCAATAGACATTCGCAAGAGATGGCAATAATTTATGAGAGCTCGAAAATATATAGGTCTTCACTCTTACCTGTGCAGGCGTGAGACAGAGCATTTGGGCTGCTGGTTGAGCATGGTTTTCCTTTTCTTTGTTTCTCATTCTTCCGTCTCTCTAGAGTATTATTCGGTACTTTCGTTGAGATAAAGTAGAAATGAAGCTACTCTAATTAATTTTCTGAGGTCTCAGGTGCTTTGCAAATTAATATCTAATTTATGCAGCAGAATATCTACATAGCCAAGCAAATGTGTATTTCAAGAAAAAGGCAGTCAGTTTCAACCAGATAAAATTCTGTTATGAGACTGTATTAAAAATTTGACAAAGGAATCACTTAACAGTGTCTGCAGCCCACAGATATCTCGGTGCAGAGCATATTCCTATAGTTCTTATATTCATTATGCCTCAGCAATTTAACACTGTTCCTGTTTTAGAACATATCTGCTACAGTACCAATTACAAAAGGAACCCAACCTACATTTTTATCTCGGAACGGCTAGCTCTAGCTTTCTGAAATGTTAATGTTGGCAATCATTTTGTCTTAGCAGTCTGAGAAAATCATGGCTGTCAGACCTAAACACACCCCATCTTCTAGCTGTACATTTGTGTGTGTGTGTGTGTGTGTGTGTGTCCCCTCATCTTTGTTCCCTCTTCAGAGAAATAAGAGATGTCCTGTCTTGTTTCTCAAACCCAATCCCCCGACCATGTGACCTTATTCTCTCATTTATCCCCTTCCTTCTGATTCCTCCTCTATCCTCAAACTATCAGAGGGATCCCCATTTTAGAAGACTTTATCTGCTCCCATGGACTCCTTTAGGAGTCTTGCTATTTTTTTTCTTTACTTTTCAGACTTCTTGCTTCCTTGCCTTAAACTCCTAAGATCCAGTTTGTTTCCAACTCCTCTATTCGATCTGTGATCTCATTTCTTCCTAACCTTTTGGACCCTTCTCAAGACCCGTCTTCCTGGACCTCTCTGCAGCTTTGGTATTTTACCTCTTACCTTTCTGAAAACTTTCCTCATTCCATTCCTAAATGTGATACTGTCTTTACCCATTCGGTCCTTCAGCCCCCTGCCTGCCTCCCCGACCCCTTGGGAAGCCTCTTCACCTTTTACAGCTTTAGGTAATCCTCTCCAGGTAGATGATTTCCAAAAACGTGTGTCTGGGGGTGACCTCTCTACCAAGCTGCCCACTGGGCATTTCCATGTCTAATGTCACAGGTCAATGTATGGCCTTTTTTTTTTTACCATGAACATTGGCATTCATATTGAGTCGATGCTGTTTTATCTTGTAAATATTGAACTGCCTGTAGGACGAGACATCATAGAGCTGTCTGAAGATATGTCATTTCCCTGCTCAAAAACCTTCTCTGAGTGGCGTCTTAGCCTGCCATTCCAGGCCCTCTGCTACTGCATGGTGTGACATCTTTGCCTTTACTCCTCTAAATGCATCAATGTGTGACGATCAACTTAGATGAGTTTCAGATACCCAGCTATGTTCACTTCCTTAGGGAAAATTTCAACCCTACTGAAAAACAGAGTAACTTGACCATGTACCCATCATCTAACTAGAGCGAAACCTGTACATTTTGCCTTACTTGGCGTCAGGATTTTTTTTTTAAAGAAAGAAAACAAACATAGTTTTCTCTTAATGTTGTGTTTTAACATCCCAGCCACTCCTTTCTCCCTCTTTGCTTTTGGCGGTGCTATCTGTGCCTTTCCCCTGGAATGGCATCTACTATGTGGCAGCTGACAGAACTCCTTCAAGGGTCAGCGCAGATGTGACTCCTGGGCTCTCAAGGGGCTGGAGTCCCTTCCTGCACATTTCCCTCTGATGGCACTTAGCAGCTCACTGCCGTTTCTCTTCATGTTTCTTCTGCTCATTAGTGACCATGCTTTTCATTTCTCCTGAAAGGCCTTATCCTAGTGAACCTTAATACATATTTATTTCCTTGAGTATACTTAAGGCTGATGATATCAAATTAGTGTCAAAGAACAATGTCAAAGTGCAACAACTTCTTTCTACGAAGGAAGAAACAAAGTACCCAGCCCATTAGAGAGTAAAAATAAAATTTCTAAGGCTTTCATAAACGCTTCCCTCTAAAAGGTAAACTAAAGTCAGTTCTTACCGAGTCAGGGGCTTTTTTAAAATCCCATCTCAGCATAAAATTTTACTGTGAATTCGTTAAAACTCTAAGAATTCTGCAAACTTTTCTCGTGAAGTGCCATGTTTGACTACATATGGTCTCTGTCACCTACTTTTTTTCTTTTTTTTTCTTTTAAAAAAACACCTTTAAAAATGTAAAAAATATTCTTAGCTAGGGTCCCTGCATGCGTTTATTCAAACTTGGCAGGCCTGTTTGGCCATTTACCTTCCCTTCCTCTTCATTTAGTCCCTATAATTCCGAGGGAGGAAAAACAAAGCTTAGGGAAATAAGGGTGTTTTTCTTCTACTGGCATTATGAATAAGATTCTGAATGTCTTGTCTCTTTATTATGTGTAGGCTATTTACTTGAGAACAGTGTGCACTTAGAGATTTTAGGAGCAAATTTAGTTTTTTTCAGCAGTTCTTAAAATTTTTTTCAGCCAGCAGATTCAGCCTAGGCTGTAGCGGCATAAATCTTGAGGTAAATAATACATGGTTAAGTCAGTCAGGCTAGCTGTGTCTCCAGATAGCATCTCATTCCTGAGCAGATTGAGAGACTTTATACCAGCTGCTTCAAAAACCTGATAGGCAGGATCTGTTTAGACTAAAATCTATTCCTAAAATAATAGATTTGGGCCGATTATATTTATATAACTACAGATCTAAAAGTGATGCGGGATTCCCTTATAGATTACTGTGGACTTATAACTAGTCGAGTGCTATCTGGGAGGTGAGTAATTTTATGAACTTAGAACGTAAAAAGCGTGTTTTGGAGGAGGGCAGCCATATTGGTAAACCAACAAGGAAAGAGAAGGTGCCCTAGCTGGAGGACTGGAGGCCGTTTAACACCAGTCATCATCCTGGGTGTCAGCTGGCCTTCCTATGCTTTGCAGCTGAGGCGGGGTGGTCGGCTGCCTTGTACTCCTCCACCTGGTAGGTGTTCATCTGTCTGGGAGGTGATGGCCCAAGGGAGTTCTAGGGTGCTGATGCAGTGTATTTATTCCCCTGCAGATTGCGTGTTCTGCTTTGCCTCTCTTAATAAGGGGGCAAAATGCATAAACTCCAGTCTTCCTATGGGACTTTCCCCTTAGCTTTCACGGCCACAGCTGTCATCTTTGTTACCCCCTGGCACGTAAGGAAAGTTTGAGCCTCCCTGGGGCCTGTCAGCTTTGGGGTTGCTGAAGCACATGCCCTCCTGCTCACTGCCTCTGCATTTTCTTTATCCCCACCCCACCCCCCTGTGCAGAGTACATCCAGAAATACGCAACGGAGGAGGCACTGAAAGAGCAGGAAGAGGGCACCGGTGACAGCTCGTCGGAGAGTTCTATGTCTGACTTTTCGGAAGATGAGGCCCAGGATATGGAGTTGTAGTAGAAAAAGCACCTGCTTTTCAGAAAGACTATTATTTCCTAACCATGAGAAGCAGACTATAATATTCATATTTAAACAAAGCAATTTTTTTTATTACTAAACAAGGTTTTTATGAATAATAGCATTGATATATATATATTATATATCACCCTTTAGATCTTGATTTCTTGGTCATTTCTCAACCTGAGGTGCATAGCATATTCCCACATTCCATTTTGGTAGCAATATGCGGTCCGAATGCATGCATTCATAAGTCCATTTGGCCAAGTCAGCCTGTGTGCTACTGAACTGTCAAAAGAAATAGCCGCTCTGATAGATAGACACGAGTAAAAATAACAGGAAAAAGTTGCTTCTTTTATCGATGGTTCCAAAGAAACAAACCAAACCAACCAGCTCTTGGATGTGAAGATAGAATAGTGCTTTTTTTGAAATGGAAAGGAAAAATTGGGGAGGAAAAAGCCTGCTGTGGGAGCATTTAGAGCCAGCCACGTCAGAACCAGAGCTGCTCCTTCCTGTGAATCCTAGGTGGCCCCATTTCTGTGGAGTAACAGTATAAAACAGGGAGCTAATTGGAGTATTGAAACTTGAAACCATTTTTTGACTCGGATTTTAAGTACATTTTTATATGTAGGTTCCTGCCCTTCTCGCTACCCGGCCCTGCAGCCACGAGCGTTTGCTTGGAGAACCTCTGGGGAGCGCTTTCTGCACCTGATTCTTTCTCGTGGGGGTAGAGCTTGTGATCCAGACCCTTTTTGAGAGGACAGGACAGGAAGAGAGAAGTGCCCGGGAAGATGTTTCCGCTCATCCAGCACTCGCAGAGGCGCAGCCTCGTCCTGCCGTTGGCCACGTTGAGACTGCCACCCTGGACTAAGCTTTACCTTTGAGGGTTGCCGTGGGTTACTTTTGTTTTGGGGGTTATTTTGGTGTGTGTGTGCGTGTGAATTGTGCTTAGACAGGTTGCACGTTTAATCTTCACCTACCAAGAGATGGCCTCCTCATTGGACAGCCGCTCGGTGGACTGTTAGACTCGGGAAGAAGACCCGTCTGGTGGCTGTGACTTCTGGGTACTCTCATTCACGTTCTGGTTTTGTTTTCCTTCTGCTGCTGCTCTTGGCAGCAGCCTGGGCATCATCTGCTTGTGGGAGTGGGAAATGGGTATTTTAGACCCAACACACATTCTAAATTTCAATGAGTAATAATTGGAACAAATAAAGATTCTTGTACCCAAAGTGACTCTACGTGGGAAAACAAACAGCTTTTTTCAGAGGATGAGTGAATAGGAGGAAAGGATTCAGAAATATGATGTCGTAGTAAAACAGGTTTTGAAGGAAGAAAATCTCTCCTGTGTGTGGTAGGAGGAAATCAGTTTAAAATGCCTGCTAATCAAATGTTTATTCGGCTAACCATATGTCCAGGTTGCTGGCAGAGTTTCCTTCCAGTCCGAGTGTTGCCCGCTGCATCTGGAGAGCTCCAGGCAGCACCTCTGTGTTCTTTCTGTGCCGCAACCAATAGGGCAGGAGCAGAATCAGCCAATCCTAAAACCTTCTAAAGACCATTTGTGAATGTCCCACTGGGATAATTTTAATTTTTCTTTCTGATGTGTGTTTTTAGTTTAGAAGTGCTATATTCCACAAGATTTGAGTCAGTGAGGTTGGAAGATATCCTATCTTTTTTTTTTATTCAAAAAGCACAATCAATCTTTTCTTTGAAAATCTATATAAAGTACAACTTGCTTTTGGCATGATTATTTTCCTAAATAAAAAAGATAAAGAATTTACTTATTTTATGTTAATTACGGGCATGAAGCAAAGGGTTTTCTTTAAAAAAAAAAAAAAAAGTGCAGTTATGTAGGGCTGTGGTTAGTTAACCGTACTGAGTTATCTATCTAGCATTTGTGGCTTGTTGGAAGGGTAGTATTAACTATTTAACATGTCATGGTGTACTTTAACTCTTATCTAGCACGTTGTCTTCTCGTTGCTTCGGGGGGGAGGGGCTCTCTGGCACTGTCTGACGTGCTTACCTGCGGACTTGGCAGTTTGCTGTGCTATAGCCGTTACTGTAGGTGCGACTTAGGGTAGGCTTAAAGTGCTGGGTGGTGATTTGAGTTCAAACAATAAAAAATTGTATTTTTTCAATATTGTATAAACAATAGTGTTCTAAATACCTTTCAAAAAATAATGTCTAGATAATAATTGCTTTAAATCTTGTCCAAAAAACTAGTATAACCAAGTTGAGGGAAGGTATGTGAGCAGTGCCACAGCTCTGTTCCCTGACCGCATCCGTGTTTCTCTGACAAAGACATCAGCTTGCCCGCTACCGAGAGCGCCAATAGCAGAAATGTGCGAATTCCCAAATAAAGATTTGGGTGGGGAGGGGGGGCAGGGGTTAAGGAGCAGATCCGTGTGTGGTTGCTGTGTGTTTCCATCCAGGTCTGTGTGGTGAAGGTGTACTTAGGCTTCTCTTTTAGCACTGGAAGCTTCTGGAATTGCTACCCAAATGACGCTGTACTTTCATTCTGTGCAAGCCTATCTCATCTGGGCACTAACCTTGGTTCCGTGCATGTTTTTGGCTTTGTGTGGGTCTTCTCCTCTCCACTGTGAAATCGACTTTTGATCAGTTGAACAGAATCCCTTCCTGTGCTAACTTTTTGTCCCTTCCCTGTACCTGGGAGAGGTAGGTGTAGGAGACCATACTTACAGGTGCAGAGGGAGCTGGAAGAAGGCCTGGCTGTGAATCCGGGGCCTCTGGGCCCCTAACTGATGGCAGAGTAAGGCTGAGGCAGGGGTGTCAACAATGCCAAAAGCTTTTCCAGATTGTCCCATCAAAGACGCTCAGAAAGCATCTGGAGCCCCTCGGAAAGGCTGAACGTTACTGCTTTTAAAAGGTGGTGGTGGTAAGTTGGAATTGCTTCTGGCAGTTTTCTTTCCTTCCTTTTAGTACCCATAGTTTTTGAAATTCTACCTGGTAGTTGACCAGCGCAGGCCATTCTTCGCCCCTGTTCAAACGACTGAGCTCGCGCTCTCGCCAAACGCCGACAAGCAAGGTGGCTGCGGCACCCCCAGCACCGGGCCTGGTGGGCTGCAGTAGGCGGTACCAGCCTCGACGCTGGCATTTTTGCTCTTTTTAGTCTTCAATCTCAGTGCAGTTTCAACCAGCATTTTATACTAGTGAGAATTATCAGAAGTTGCCATGTACCTAACATTATTCTTCCACTTCAAAAGCTGTTCTAATTGCCAAGTGGCTGATCTAAGCTCCTGGAGAGTGTCTCCCCTCGAAGGAATTTTTTTCTCTCAAAAGGCTCCCAGAAGCCCGAGTTGGCCATGGCTGGACACTCGCCTCCTATTGGGATGGCTGCGAATCATGAAAGACATCCCCCCACCAGCCTCCATGGGTCAGGTTCTAGACACCGAGTTTCTGGGAACTAGGGTTTGATTTTAAATGGCGTGCAACCCTTCTCTGTTCTAGGGACTCAATTAGAAGAGTGAAAGTCATTAACAGAAGTTAGCAAGAATTTTATTTCATCACTTTCTGACTGGGTTCACAGCCTTGTTGACAGAAATCAAATCATTTCTGATTGGGCGCAAAGACCTGCGTATCTGGACTTCTGAATCCATGTTCATATTTTCTGTGGCCACTGAACACCTTGGCGGTCCCATTAGGGATGGGCTGGAGTGGAGGCCCCTTGGGGAAGAAGGAGTTAACAGCCCTCAGGTGTGCGGGTTCTTCACTCACCTGAAGAAGGGCCAGGACTCTTAATTCAGCAAATACTTGTCTTGGCTGTGGGCTTGGGAAGAAATGGCCATTATTTACTGATTGTATTTGGTACATATTGTGTGATACTTGAAGAGATAAAAGGGACTTACCAGCCCTTCATTGAAATCTAAGCTTTTTATCACTTATTTTTTCCTCGCCCTATCTCCCTTCCACCTTTTTCCTTGCATTGTGATGATCTAGTGGGCACTTCTGTCAACAGGACAAATGCCTCCTCTGACTATAACCTCTTAATAGTTGTGTATAATGAAAACTGTAAACTTTTTTAAATAAAATGTGTATATACCTTGGCAAATGGCTGGACCTTGATGAATAAGCCGATAGCCTCCGTGATTACTTAGCCTGTTTTTTTTAAAACGTCCTCCCTGTTCACCTGGCTTCTCTGAGTAGCAGACTTTTTTTTCTTTTCCACCAAGAAGCTCTTAAAAGGCAGACAACTGGGTAAGTTTGGGGAGTGTCACGTGTAGGCAGTAATAACCAAGAGGCCTTGCCTACAGCGTCCTGTCCCTGTACCCCGAGTGGCAGGCGACTGCTGGCTGTAAACAGGACCGGCTGTGAAGCTTCACCAGGGCCTTAAAAAGCCATCTTTTCTGTGAAGTCTTGTAGCCTGAAGGACCCCACTTACTTCCAAGTGGATCAGCAGATTGGGCTCCCATGTTACTGTTAGCTAAACCTTCTAGACCCTGTTAACTGATGCTGAGCAAATGGTACCTACCCTCTTGGCCTGGAGTTCACAGACAGTGCAGCTTCCTGCCGGAGGCCAGTCTGCCTCAACAGGTGTGCCAAGTGCCATCCTCAACCAGAGTGGGGAGAGCAGTGGGCATTGCATCTGAAGCTGCAATTTCAATTCCTTCCTAAAACACATGCCCTCAGTGGCCACCAGATGGCGATGTTGCTTAGTTTATTGGAGAAGCTACTTGTGCTAGATTTTGTCAAAAGACCCTTAAGACAAGTTTTCCTTTCGTCATATGTTATTCCCCCAGCTCTCCACTGTTTTATTCTCTTCATTCATATCCCACAGACCTTTTTCTTCCCCTTGCTACATCGTGATGCGGTCTCCAGTGGGCCCAGCTCTCTATCAGGGAGAAGGAGGGTAAGGCCACCTAGGAACTGTGCTCTGGTGTGAATAACACCTCAGTCTCCTGTGCCAAGTAAACCCTCAGGCTGCCCTGGCTGCCTCCAGCGTTCAGAAGCAAAACGTTCTACAGGCTCTTTGCATGTGGGCCTCACTGACCCCTCAGCCAGGGGCGTAGTGGACCAAAGGACTGACCAGTGCTGGGAGTTCTAATACCATCTCTCTCATTAGCTGTGCAGTCTCCAGCTCTGCAGCCTCAGGTTCATCTGTAAAATAAAGTTCTCTAATTTGGTAGGTTCTCACTGACACTGTGACTCAGAACTCCATCCAGGCTCTGAAACAACATATCACAAGACACACTGTCCTCAGAAGAGATGATTGTTATCAACCCAAGAAATAACCAGGTTTCAGGATTGCAGGTTAGAGTGTTTGGACCCAAAGAGTTTTGGGAGTTTCAAGCATCTATTTTCCAGCCGAAAGGAGAATTAAGAGGTATATGGGTCACGTGAACAGTCATTGTTGATCTCTCACAAGGCAGCTGCTGTACAAACTGCTCGAGGAGTCCCAGTGCGTTCTGTGGGGCTTGGGGCCCCTCGCCCATCAGGAATCTCGCCCAACGTCATTCTTAACCTCTCAGCCTCAGTGCAGTTGCTTCCTGAGCCGGTGGCTCTCCACTGCCTGCCTGAGGCATTGCCCCTTTACTGAGAAGGGGGACCTGGGTTTTCCGAGGCATATTCTGGGAAAAAAAGTTGTGGGCTCAGCACCCAAGAATGTTTACTCCCCTTAAACTCTTTTGCCATCTCTGAAGGCTGCTCTCTATCCTGGGAATGAGCTTCTGTGACACCGAGCACTGGTGTTTCCTGCACCTCACCCAGAACTAGGGCAAAGAGGATTTGTCTGGCCCTAGGCCCTGGAGCCACCTGACAGACTGAGCAACCTTGCTTAATAAGCCCACAGGCTTCTCAGGCACTCAGATCCCCGGATGAGCCCAGGAGAATCATACCTTGGGCCAAACCTGCTCTCCAGTGCCCTGTATCGTAGAGTCTGTGCACCCAGCCCTTCCTGGAACTGAAGAATTATCTTGACGGGGGTCAGTGCTAGAAGGTAAAGTACACAGGAGCACTTTTCCCCTTGCTCTGTGCGTGAGGTGTGTGTGTGTGTGCATGTGTGTGTCTATAATCATGTTTATTTTTGAAAAGGGCTGGCACTTCTGTGGACCTAGGTTCCTCAGAGGGTTTTTTTTTTAATTAATTTTTTTTTATAGTGACATTGGTTAACGAAATCCAGTAAGTTTCAGCTCCTCAGAGGTCTTTGGAACTCAACCTTTGCTCCTAGAACCTGATGTCAACTGGTCAGCATGGCAAGAACAGACTTGAGCTCCCTAAAGGAAAAAGCGTTCGGCTGCCAGTTCATTACCAGATAACCCTGAGAAGGGCTGCTGGACAGCCATAGGGTTTGGCCTTCAGGCCTGTCGCACCTTCCCTTCCTGTGGCCCCTGCCAGCTAAGTCATCCAGCACAGAGCCAGCGGCTCCCTTGGAGAAGCTTCAGCTCAGATCTGTTCTCTCCAGCTCTATAAACAATGAATCAGGTGCCTGCTACAGTCCACTGATGTGCTTTTAAAAGATGCACTTCTGCAGATTTCAAAAAAATTATGTGCTGGTAGCAAATCAGCATTCCAGAAACATGAAGGTCTTCTGTAATGCCCTCCTCCAGAGAGAACCATCATTCCTGGCCAAAGAGGGCTTCCCCCTGTGACCGTCACATTGGCCTGGGAGCCCCTGGGAAAGTAGACCAGGCTCCAGCCCTGTTTCACATTAACTGCTTGTGAGGCTTCAAGAGGCTCGGGCACACAGTGAATGGCACAGTCAATGCAGGAACTCAGGTCTTCAGGCCAGACATGGGTGTTCTTTGCACGAGCTCATGCTGTGCCAATCCCGGTGCCCATCCAACACCCACTGGGGCTGTGGCACTGGTATCTGTGTGAGCCTGCCATCTGGGGCTCCTGTGAGATGCCTCTGGGTTGACCCTGTGAGCCTGGCTGACTCCTGCCCTCGTGGGCTTGGTCCCCACATACATCCCCATTTCCACTGCTATCAGTGTCCCCAACCTCTGTGACCCACAGTGGAGTCAGAAAATAAAAACTCAGATTTAGCCCAACCCACTCCCTAGAGCAGAAATATAGAAATAGAATTCTATTTACCTAATTAAAAACTTTTTTTAAAGACAAGGTAAAATTAATGTTTTTTTAAATTCGGTTTATCCAAAATTTCAGTGTAATTATTTAAAAACGAGTATTTTACTTATTTTTACAACTCTGAAATCCAGTGTGTACTTTACACAGCACACCTCAATTTGGACGCTACATTTTCAACGTTTAAAGTCACGTGCAGTCCTACCAAAAAGTTGTTACAGAAAAATTTACACTGTTTTTAAATCTAAAGTTAAATAAGATGAAAAATTCGGTTTCTCAGTGGCCACACTTCAAATGGTCACTAGCCAGATGTGGCTGCGGCCGCCTACTGGGCGGTGCAGTGGAGCAGGAATTTTGAGAAGCAAATAAATCACAAGAGCGACTTTCATCGCGGATCTGGAGAACGCAGAACCTCACACTCCGCAGAGAACGTTCTGAGGTCCCGGGGCAGGCAACGCCCCCAGTTCCTCCCCTGCGTGCGGACCCCGCAGGCTGTGTGCGAACCGCGGCGGCGGTCGGGAGGTGACGGAGAGGCCCCCGTCGCAGGCCCCTGGAAACGACTTCCAGGACGCGAGGGCGCCCCGGGGGCTCCCAGCTGTCCGCTGCGGAGACAAAAGTGACCTGCCCGCCAGTCGGGGACGCTCCC